TAGAGGGAGCTTGCTGCTTTGATGGCGATTTGTCAAAAGTAACACCGGGGTCACAAGGATTGCCCGTTGTCATCAGTTTCGAACTAGGTTCGAGCTGATGGCCTGAGACAAATGATGTACTCGAAGTAACAACGTCAAGACTTCCATTCCGTCCTTGGTCAACATCTATAGGAGATGTGCCAAAGAATGTTGTGTCTAGCTCGACCACGCTAGATGAAATGGCTAGGGATTTGTTTCGGCTGGCTGGAGTAGGTTGTTGGTTGGTAGAGGAGGGGGTTGGTTTGGCTGCGGGGTTTGGCTAGTAGAAGCAACATGCTCAAGTATCCGTTGGCGCTTGTTCTCCCCCTCATGAGGATTCGAATCATAAGGATCCTCATGTTAACGTTTGTTGCCGCGTAGACTTTCACGGCATGTGTTGTGAGTATCGAGAGCAAGGAGAAGGGCTTTTTGAAATGGGGTACGATTGCCTTCATCCGTGTCTAAGATACTGTCGAAGACCTCTGAGATGAGGGCATCGAAGGGTACGGTTGATAGGTTGGGTTTGGTCGTTTGAGGGGGGACATTAGTTCTTTATCTTGGGTTCCCCTTAAGGTGGATGGTTGTTGGTTTGGAATGGCTAGGGGTGTGGAAATTGCTATAGAAATGGTTGGGGGCTGTGTGGTTAGGGGTTCGGTGGGTACATCCTGAACAGTTGGGGTACTTCTAGAGTCTTGTGCTTGAACGGTTATTGTTTGGTGTACTCATGACTTAATGGTAGACTCTAGAAAGTTATTCAGATGTACTAGCAAGTCTTCGAGGATAGGGATTCCAATTACTGGGGTTGTAACTTTTCTGGTTGTTTCGGCTGAAGTTACTGTAGAAGACCATTTTAGCTATTTTATATATAATTTTTTCTTTATTTTATTATTAAAATAAATTTTAAATTTATTTTTTCATAAATCGATAGAATCAGCCAGAATTTCATAAATTTTAGTAGGATCAACCCACAATTTCAATGTTATCAAAGTGAGTCTGAATTTGCTTGAATATCTCCCATCAATCAACATATATTAAACATCATGACACCATGATTATCTTCTTGAATTGAACAAAATTTATTACTCAGTCGTGTCAGCCTCGTAGAAATTACCAATCGAATTGTAGCGTACCTTGTTTCCATAACAGAAGTTACCTTAAAATCATGAACCTATATATGCCAGGCTAAGATTGTTGTTAAGTGCCGATTTCCTTAAATCCAGCAAAGGCATGCATTATAGTGGTAAGAAGTTGTTGAAAGACTTAAAGAGGGTCCACTACTACAGCTGTACATGCATCTGCTCTGGGAACGAGTCTCAAGTTCCAGCCCAGATTCCAGAAAGCTTTTCACCATTAAAGCTAACAAGCTCGTCATGGCCGGTTGGAGTCATTATATATGATTCATCTCAAACTCTGATTTAGCAATTTCTATTATGGGGAGAGAAGATCTCCCACCCCACTCATGACTCACCCAATTTCCAAACAAACACTTTTGAAAAACAACTACCCAGAACTCACAGCCTCAAAATTAAAGGTCAAAGTACTACAACCACTCCCTATGCAATTATTTCTATGTTAGAGTAGAACTTCCATGTTCCAAAAGGTTGAACCCCAACCCCAAGGGTCCTCCAAGTCCCGACCCGACATGACTTTTGGAAAAGTGTAAGTCACGATAACTCAGTTGACCCAATGGTAGTAGATCTTGTACTTGTACGCACCAAAGGTCCAGCGCAATAAGGATGTAAAGCTAGATTATCAACTGATGGAGACTCTACAACAACAACAACATCCCATCAATGACTTAAAAAAAGTTCGGGATGTAAACCATCATATAACATCAGAATTAAACATACGAAATAGAGAAAAATGAAACAAACAAAATCACATTAACCCTCTATTCGTAAAGCCTACGGAGTATTTGGTAACGCGTACTTATTTTAAAAAAGGATGACACCCGATTCCTGAGGGCCCTTCAACATTGATCAGACGGCACGATGAGAAGATGTAATTGGACTATAATCACAATTCACAATCTTTTAGATAGAGAGTAGAGTTCTGTCCCCGATACTTGCAGAGGCCCTCTATTGAGTAACATCTTATCACAGTTGTCAGGAGTCGAACCCATGATCTAACCCTTCTGACACTCTCTCGCTACCAGTTGAGCTACGCCCACCAGTATAACACTTATTTTCAACTTATTACTATTAACTTATTTTCAACTTATTACTATTAACAGCTTTCTATGTAAAAGTGAAGTTACTTTTTTACCCGATTGATTGAATTTGCTCAAAAGAAAATTTTAACTACATTTTCCCATTTTTTTCCATTAATTTACCCATGGATTGAATGCATATGTATTTTAAAATAGATCCAGTCAATTTAGTAGATTGTTTTTTTTTTTTAATTTTGTAGATCCACTCAATTCAATAGTCTTCCGAATTTCACAAATTTCAAGAGATTGAATTACCAAATGGGTTAGTATGCTTTTCCTTGATCCTCTTAAGGTGAGATACGTGAGTTATTCCCAACCCTAAGTATGAATGTTTGACTTCTTAATTCCTTGTATTTCATAAGTCATGACCGGTCAACCAATTGAAAATGTGGTTTGACTGAAACTGTAGTTAAAATTAATGTAGTTGTAATAGCTAGTTTGAATTACCTGTACCAAAAATCAAAATAGAGAATACTTATCTCTTATGATAAATTGATAATAAGTATTGTTGGGATAATGGGCCGGGTCCAAGACTATCAACCCGTTATACCCGAGCTTTGGCCTAACCAAGCTTAGAACACAGCCCGACAGACAGAAATCGGATCGGGGTTATTTGCGTATTAGCTGGCCCATTAGGGCCAATATTAGTTGGGTAATTCTAAATACAGCCTCTATTTTACTAAACACAGCCCTCATATCGTTCCCCCATCATCTTATTGCCGTCTTTCCCTGTTGTTGTCCCACCATCATCTTATTTTGTCGTCTAATGCTCTCCTATAACCCTCTCACCATCTCAATTGACCAGATCTAATTGAAGCAGAAACTCATTCCAAACTATGCATGTTGCTAATTCTTCTAAAAGAAAACCTGGGAAATAGCATAACCAATAACCATTATGTGTAGCTCATTTGTTTCAATGCGTAGGAATAAAAAAGTGCTTTACGTATTGATAGCATCTTAGATAAAGCAAGACCAATGCTTTACACACACACATCTTAGATTTGACTGTAATATCAGAGGAGTCTTTGTATGGCGGAGCAATAACAATTAACAAAGCAGTTAAGCAGTTTACTGCCATTTTAAGTCTCCCTCCATTCCACCACCGTTCTACTGTAATTTCTTGTGATTTAATTTCCCCTTACCACCGTTCTTCTCATCTTTGCTTCGTTTCATTTTGTTTTTGAAAGTTTATGTTGATAAATATATTGTTTCAGTCAAATGAGAGGTAACGAGTATAAACTGGAGCAAACAATTGTTCCTAAGTTCCTAACTGTAGATCTGCACTTGATGTCGTATTCAAGAAGATTGGATGAAAGAGGGGTTGATTTAATTCAAAGGCTAATATAGGTATTTAAAAAAATTACTTACGTTGGGGGCTATGAATAGTCATATATGGGCTGCAAATAGAATTTCCCATATTAGTTCTTAGATTGGGCCAAGCCCATGTAGCCTTTTATTGTTTGGCTTGTTGTAATCGCCTATAAATAGGCCGCACAATCCTCTTGTAACCTTAAGTTATTTTCACTATACTGAATTGCTGCCAGTTTTTCTACCCGGGTTATTTTCTATCAACAAGTATCATTTCCATTGTTCAAAAAATATCATTTCCATTTATTTAACCTACCCAAGCTATAGTATCAATTCTGAAATAGTTGGGTTTGCCCCTTTAAGAACTAATACGTGATTATACAATGAAGATAATTAGTTTTCATTTTTATATTTATTGACATGCCTTGGTAGTTTTATAAATTAATAAAAATTAACATGAACATGTGTGTATATTTTTTACAAACTTTTTGAGTTTAGAACAACGCTTGATTGTTCTTTCTTTCTTCTCATACGATAGTAGTTCTCCTATACTTGCGTATCTATTTCGTTTTCCTAGCACTTTCACACCCCAAATAGCTACAGCTGAACTAATACAGAATGATATGTGCTTGTTTTACATTCTATCCGTCAAGAAAATATTTCAAAAAGAAAACTACGTAGTACTTAGAAAACGATTGATAAAAAAATACACCGGTCACAACACTCCAGCAAGGATTGAAAGTGAAGGCACGTAGCTATATATTCACTTAATATGCAGTTTCATATCGCGTTGGCAATTGTCAAATAAAGGATTGATCAGCAGATTTATTACTCCATACATTTCATTTCTTCATCAATAATTCAATGAATGTTCAATAAATAGTAGGGAAAAATACGGAAAAGATACTTGTGGTTGGGCCCGTTTTCAGATAGGGTCATGTGTTTCATTCTTTATCAATGTGGTTCTTGTGTTTGAATTCCGTTATCACAAGAGGGTCACGCCGGTAAAAACATCTGAAAAATACCGTTAAAAGTAACTCCGATTTTCAAAAGTGTCCGGAAAATTAAAAGAAAATACCAAAAGGTGCGCCTCGTCAAGATGACCTCCAAACCACCTTCGCCTTTGGATTTTTCAGATCTGTTTGAATTGTTTTTTTAAAATGATTTCGCTAATATCACTTTTCTGGTGGACTTTCCGGTGACAAGGGTGCTGAAAACAAAAAAGAAAGATGGCCTAGCGGTCGTCTTATTGAGGCGCACCTTCCGGTATATTTCTTTTAATTTTACGAGCACTTTTGAAAATCGGAGTTACTTTTAATGGTCCTTTTCAGATGTTTTTAACGGCGTGACCCTCTTGTGATAACAGAATTCAAACACATGAACCACTTTGATAAAGACTGAAACACATGGCCCTATCTGAAAACGGGTCTAACCACAGGTACTTTTTCCGTACTTTCCCCTAAATAGTATCAATGACACATTTTATCTGTTAACTGAACCCATATATTTCTTTGATACATTCACATACGAGAGTTTTAACAATAATCACAACTTGTCTGATTTTAACATATCCCATGTTGCTAATTTCTTTACATGATACAGGTATCAAATTATAAATACCAGAAATTAACCCTAAGAAACATTTAGAGGATGAAAAAGAAAAAGAAACCAAATCGATGACCAAGAGTCATTGACGAAGAATGGTGGATCGGTCAATGGAGTCAAGCCCATGAGTCCTGCACCGAACAATCCTATGGAACACTTCCCTAACTCTGCCCTCCAAAGGGTCCAACCCAACCTTAAGGGAACCAACCACGGCCCTCAGCTCGACCACTCTCTCCTTCACCTCTCCCTCCTTCTGTTCGGTCAAAGGCAAGTCAACCGTTTCAGTCAATTCAATCAGCCCTCTCGTGCATTTCTCCATCTCATGAATCTCCTTCAACAGCCCGCAAGACGAGTTCTTGCGGTCCCGCTTCTTCGACGCTTCAAGAATCCTCTCGTGGAGGGCGAGAAGCGGGCCAGACCAAGAAAACTTGGAAACGTTGAACGGGGCGTTAAGTCCGCCGCGGTCCTGGCAGGGGATTGCGGCGACAAGGGCCCACATTACAAAATACAGCATGTAACTCATGGTGAAAACCGATAAAGCTAATCCATTTGAAGAAAGGATTTCACTGGTCTTAGGTGAGGTTAAATTGTTACCAATGGCTTGGAGCTGCCTAGCAGCAGACCAATTCCTTGAAACACTCCATGACAGTGACCTGAAATGTCCCATAGACTTGTTGTTATTGTTGTTGTTATTTCTCCCGAAAGAGCGATTTCTCTGGGAAAGAGACGAATTGGAGACCTTTTCATCGAGCATAGAAATAGCCAGATCAAGCAAGGTCTTCTTCGCGCGACGGATTTGGCCATCTCCGAGACATCTCTGATTCTCCAATGAACAAATCACAATCTCCAATTGCTTCTGCCACTGCTTGATCTGTTCGAGTCCATCTCGTATAGCATTGCACACATCCAAAGCCTTCACGCTTCTCTCGAAATATTCAGAGACATATCGATCCAGAGGAGGCTTGTTAAGCACCGATTTGTAATTGAAGACGATGGATTTGAATTCCTCCTGGCAACAGAGGAAAACGTCGAGCAGCTTCTGGATCCAGGTAATGGAGAGCATATCACCAGAATTTGCCGACAACAGGTCGTTGAGACGATTCGCCACTTGCGTCTGGAAGGCTTCGAGCTGTTCGTGTTCTTCTTCGCGAGGATTCTCCATGAGATCACGGCGCATGCTCAGAAGGGATCGGCCGAAGCTGGTGAATGGTGATGAAGACGATTGGTAATCCGTAGCTGGCATTTCTCAAATCCCGGGAAGAAAATTAAATAAAATGTACTTCTTCTATGGAATACAAATCGATTTATCGGAATCCGATGAAAATTTAACAGCAGAAAAGATGGAACTTTGAATGAATCCGAGAATTGAAGTGGATCATAAACAGATAGAGAAGAGAGAGGGGATAGGATAATGGGGAAAATGGTTTGGAACCCTAAAGTGAGAATGGGGGGAATTTATTTGGGTCGATTCGTCCGCGTAAGTTAATGGACTGTTGGGAAAGAGAAAGGCAGAGAAAAGATCAGTGTACAGTTTTGACGTTTTGTCAACCGAAAAAGGTAAGAGGCGACTAATTTGAGCTGCGTAATAATTACCAAAACTAAATTAACTAAAAACGCCGACCCGTGTTCAGTTAAAGCTAACACGCCTCCCACACGCAGTGGACTCGGCTTAGCTTTAAAGGTACAATAATGTTTGATAATGTTTGTATAAACGTACTCATTCTTATACCTACCTTATACCCAACAAATTTGTGAAATGTATTTATTTTGTCTGTGAACCGGAGTTCACAGAAAATAAACACTTCATAAACATATATGGGTACAAAAATGGGTATAAGAGTTGGTACAAATATCATTTTTGCTAAAGGCATTCCCTAAATTACGGAGTAGTCACAAGTAGAGGATGTTTTTTGAAAGAAACTAATTTAGTTATTATTGATAAGGATAAAAAGGAATATAGTAATAAAAAAAATCAAAACATTACCATTATAGCATTCAATCATACACTAGAGTGAGATAGGGGGTTAAAAAACGCATATTCGTCAATCCTATAATCATGTGGGCTTGTACCTCAGTATAACTGCTCATGCAACTCGAAATGAGCATGGTTTGAACAGTCACCAAAAAAGGAATTGTTAAACTTGTTGCTTTTATCAGCCACCGGTAAGGAGTCAAATGCTGAAATTGTTCTTATTTCACCAGTCACAAAAAAGCAATCCATACGATCTCATCTTCTTGGATCAACGGCGGGTTAGGGGGTGTGATTGGCCTCTATATTGGTGCAGAAGAAATTTAGATTCATGCTTGATAAAGAAGTCAGTACAAACCCGATCTTAATAGCACACAATAACACTTGATCAATGATGACGGAGAAAATTCGTCTGATAAGCGACACTCCGCTAGGAGATAAACGTATAGGTAGAACTTAAAATATGGATTAAACAAAACATTTTTCATAATTGGAATAAAAAAAGATTGAAAATAGAAGAAATGAATAAGAGACGGCAACTAGGGTTTCCCCATCACCTTTTCTCTCTTCGTTAGCTCTCATTGGGTACCTCAATCAGAGGATGTTTTTTTATATAAATAAAAAGCTTTAATATACTCCCTCCATCCCAAATTGATGTTCCTAAGCTTTAATATAACCTTACTTTATTGTATTATTAACTCCTTTACTTTTACTGTTCATTAAAAAGGAGAGGTATAAATGGTAATCTACTTTAATTTCTTTACCAAAAAGGGAAATGTGACTATCATTTTGGGACACCCCAAATAGGAAATACAAGACCATCATTTTGGGACGGAGGCAGTACTATCTTTCATTTCTTTTTAGTTGCAACATGTAAAATTTTACACTATTCACTTGCTTTACTTAACTACTTTGATTATATTTTGTTCATTAGTGTACGAACATTGTTTTTTAAAAATATTTTTGAATTCGTCTCAATACAAATTATAATAACACGATTCTTAATTTTTTTATTAATAGAAAGTTAAATATAATGATAGCCAAAATAATCGTTGGGCAAATATGAATGTTATAACTAAATAAGAACGGATATGAGGAAGTATTAATTAAATAAATAAATATTGAATACAAGGAGGACAATCAGGTACGGGGGAGGGGTGGCCTGGCTGGGCCATGGCCAGGGTAATTGTTTTTGTATTATATATATAGTTTAAATTTTTATTTGAAATTGAACCAATGCAAAATAAAATCGGCCCAGTGTAGAAACATTTGGCCCAGTGCAAAATAACAGTCCAGCTCTAATGTAAGGAAAAGAAGCTCAGCCAGAGACGGGCAATGCCCCTGCGCACTGAATCGCCGTCTGCTCGCCGACTATCCGGAGACGCACCCTAAGCTGCTCCCTGACTCTTCGTCTGCCTGTCTGCTCCTGCTCGACTGCGAACTGCGCGGCTATGAGCTATGGCTCGACTTGAGTGTTTCAAATCTGTCTTCTTCTCTCTTGGACTCCATTCTGGACGCAAGTGACAGAACCAATTTGGCGTTTCTTCTCTCTTCAAGCACACTACTTCTGCTCATCTGTGTCGGCTGCTGAGCCAAGGTAAGAGTTTTTTTTTCCCTTTTTTTTTTTACAATTTTTAGATAAATTAAATATTTTATTTGTTAAATTAGTTTGTGTTAGTGACTTCTTGTAATTGTGTGCTCATCTTGTATTGACTTTACCTATTTTGACTGCAACATCAGAAAGATCATTTTCTGCAATGCAACATGTGAAGAATGAAATTCGTGACAAGATGAATGATGAATTTTTAGCCGATCGTTTAACCATCTTTATTGAAAAGGAATTTGCCAACAAAATCGACGTTGAGTCTGTCATAGATGAGTTTGCTAAGATCAAAGAGTGTCGTGTTCGGTTAACGTTTTAGTTTCAAACATTGCAAGTATTGTTTAAAAATATTACAATGAATTTTAATGGATTTTAATCATTATGTTCACACAATTGTTGCTTTTAAAATTTTGATATAATGTTTTTAGTGTATAGTCGACTCATAATAAACATTGCTTCTAGTTACGCCCTCGAGCAGGGGCGGAGCCAAGGGGGGGTCAGGGTGGTCAGTCGACCCCGCTGAAAGTTTGAGGATATAGAGCTCTGAAATATCTACGATTTGATATATTATGGTCTCCGTAATTCATTACGAGTAAAAAGTTATGACTTCTACAAAATCGGCACTATCGTAAAACGTAAAAACAGCAAAAATTGATGCGTAATATTGACTTTTTCCCCAAACTTAAAAAATAGCTTATAACTAACTCATTACCTACGGCCGCAACTATCCCAGCCCGGATCCAGCCAGGTTATCAGTTAATAAGAGAATCCAAAATACTTTGACTGTGTCGCTTAAGCGAATATCCCCCGTTGTCCAGCAAGTGGATGGTTTTCAGACGTCGTCTCCCCATCCTGACCCTTTTTTTATGGGGCTTGCGGGCTTGTGCTCGTATTCATATGTATCCACACATTTCCAGACTTGACCTGACGTGACATGACTCAGAAACACAGCAAACACAATCTCTCTTATCTAAACTACATATGAAATATTCAACTCAGACATTGTCTAAAAACAATCCATCGTTTTCATTTTGTATAAAGTTGATTTTCGACCCCGCTGGACCGTTTTTCTGGCTCCGCCGCTGCCCTCGAGGACAATGAATCAATGTGCATGCTAAAGAGCGACAACTAGAAATAATTGCAACATCATCATAAGATAAAATCTCGAACTGGAGACAGAGTTAATAAGAAAAGCACACATTGAGGCCGTTCAATTCCACCCGAAGATATTTCCAATTTCCGTTCTTCCTCCAACAAATAGTAGAATAAACTAGGCTTCTTTCACCACGAAAGCTTCGGCTGTTTGTGGATTGCCGGTACAACAAAGCGGGCCGTTCTTAGCTACAATAAAATCATCATTAGTAGAATAAATGACTGCACCGAAACTAGGCTCCCCTGTATTTGGAAAAATATGTTGTAAAAACGGAGCGGGGAGCGACCCGGTCATGTGACTGGGTCACAGGTCAACCCGGACCCGGAGGGTCAACCCGGTCAAAGCCGGAAAACCGGTCAACGATTATACGTCTATATAATAATAATAAACATATAATTATATACACTCTCATTATATATTTTTATTTTTATTTGTATTGTACATTTATATTATAATTTGGCATGATTTTCATTATTAAATAAATATATAAATATATTACATAGTTTTTCTTTTTAGGGAATTGAAATTGCAATTTTATTGGTTTAAAAATGCATTAAAATTAAAAAGAAATTATTTTTTTTTTTGAAAAAGACCGAAAACCGGGTTTTCCCGGGTTTTTCGGGTTTCTTGGGTCGGGTCCGGATCGGATTTTTTCGGGTCAACCGGGTTTTTCCGGTTTTTGACCATTTTCGGGTTTTGAAGAAACCGAACCGGATTTTTGTCTGGGTCACCGGGTTCCGGATCAACCCGGCCGGGTCGGGTCAGTTTTTTAAACATAGGAAAAAATCGCACTCCGTACATAGAAACTAGGGTAGTAGGGTGTACGGAGTAACTCTTTATTTCAGTTTTTTATTTGAGAGTAACTTTTTATTTCAGTTTATCAGGATGTTTTATTTTGGATTGAAATTTGCTGGTATGATCTGGTTTGGTTTGGTCTGAATTGGTTTGGTCTGGCAAACGTGTGGTCTATGTGTATATTATAACTATGGAAGTCAAGTCTAGTCTGGTCTGGTCTAGTCTGGTCTGGTCCAGTCTGGTCTGATCTGGTCTGGTCTAGTCTGGTCTAATCTAGTCTGGTCTGGCTGGTCTGGGACTGAAAATAGTTCAAAAGAAAACATCCTTAATCTTACAATTCTTGACACCGATGAGGTGATGAGTAAATTTTGATATAGTGCGCTTAAATTGTGTAATAATCAAAATAAGTAAGATTATAATTAATTATCAATCGGGAAGGCAGTCAAATGAATTTTTGAAAATAACTACGCAGTTAAATAGCGCAGTACATTTCCGAAAATCATTTGACTGTTTTTCCGGTTGAATTTTTATTTGAAATTTGGTATGGGTAAGCTAGACTTAATGAAGAAGATGCTAAAAAAAATTCATCAAAAAATTCCATCGGGAACCGCCCCAATTGGCGACGGCCGGACAAGTCTGCTATACAAGAGGTTAATTTCACTTTTTAAGTTAGTTCGAGGGCCTATTTGACCCTTTAGCCTGTTATGACATTCCGATTAAAGATTTGCAGCTCAGTTCAATTTTAAGTTTTGTCTTAATGAGGAACATAAATTCATTAAATTAGATATAAATCATTTAACTTTAAACATAGTCATACTTGGTGCGTTTCAGAATTCAGACATAAAAACACAAATAATAACCCAAAAAAAGAATTAGGATATAAAATTTTGTTTTCACCAAGTTTCATAAATACAAATTGCTAGGGGCAGAGCACACTGAGCCAGTACAATGGAATTTTTTGGGGAAAAAATATCCTAATTTTTTTACACTAAATATATATATTTTTTTAAATTTAGGGT